GAAATCCAGTGTGGTGGGTGTCAATGGGGCTGGAAGAACAGTGTGTTGTTTCTGTATTTTAACACACATTACATACAGCTATTGTTTATAAAGTAAATACTTGCTGATGTCAGGGGTCCGGTATTCTAAGTTTAAACATCTTGTTTAAATTTATACTACAGACTTCATGCTGTCCGAGATGTTGAGTTCAAGGGCTTAATATTCTTTTATGTGCAACATCTATTATATTTATAATCTAATGTTTTTTGTTTTCCTCTTTGAAAAGATTTATTTTAGCTGGGCCATGCTGGCACACACCTTTAATCCCAGCACTGGGGAGACAGAGGCAGGAGGATCTGTGAGTTCAAGGTTATCCTGGTCTATAGAGTGAATTCCATAACATCCAGGGCTACACAGAGAACCCTGTCTGGAAAAACAAACCAAAAAAATCTATTTTATTTTAAAAATTATTTGTGTATGCCTGTGTGTGGCTTTGTACAGATCCCTTGGAACTAGTTACTGCTGAGCTGTCTCTCAGCCCCAAGTTTTTTCTTCTTTGTAAAAGATTTTATTTTCAAGAGAGAAAGAGACAGAGAGATAGAGGGAGAGAGAGATTGTCAGAAAGAGAGAGAGGGAGAGAGAGTGTGTGTATATGTGTGTGTGTCAGAGAGAGAGAGAGAGAGCATCAGAGGTCAGAGAGGGTCTTGGAGCAGGGGTTACAAGTGGTTGTGAACATCCCAAAGTAGATCCTGGGAACTGAATTATTTGGGTCCTTTACAAGAGCAATGTGGCTTTAAATACGGACTCATCGATACCGCCTTTCTACTGTTATAGATATATAGACAATGTTAAGTGAGGAAATAGTCATGTACACAGGGTCTTTTTTTTTTTTTTTTTTTTTTTTTTTAAGCAGGGTCTCATGTAGCCCAGGCTGGCTTTCAACTTACTATGTAATCTAGGCTGGTCTTGATCCTCCGGCCTCTACCTCCCTAGTGCTGGGATCACAGGCGAACGTACAGCCCACACCTGGCTCAAGAGCTTCATATTCATAGCTCCAGCTGTTGATCTACATTCTTTTAAGACAGACGCTGTGACTCCTGACTGGAAGGAGACAGTGATGCTCACGCCCAAGACGAAGAGCGCCAGCGATTCTGCCCTGCAGCCTGGATTAGCTGCTGCTCTCACTGCTGTGGCAAAATACTGGACAAAAACAGCTTTCAGAAGGGAGGGTTTCCTTTGGCTCACAGTTGGAGGGTGAATGGATAGGTCCAAAAGTGAGAGCAAGAGGATGAGGCGGCTGACAGCGAGCGCTCGCGCTCAGGAAGCAAGGGGTGGATGCTGGGACTCACCTCTTCTTACTAACTCTAGGGTCCATGGGGATGGTGCCGCCCACATTTAGGGTGTGTCTTCCCACCTCATCTAGATCTGTTTCCATGGAGACTCTAGGCCCCATCAAGTTGATACTCATGATTAACAGTCTCAGCACCTTTATTTGAAGTACATTTATGAGTCACTTCAGTTTTGTTCCAAGCCAGAAGTGATAGTCCTGGCTCACAACATTTAATATAATATTTCAAAACAGCTCGTAGAGAAGATTTGAAATGTTCCCAGCACAAAGAGGTGATAAAAGTCTCAAATGGTGCATACGCCAGTTATCCTAATTTAATGTTGTACACATATATCGACATGCCACACTGTACCCCAGAAACACATACAATTACTGTGTTCATGAAAATACATTTAGCACCATCGAGATGGCTTGGTTCAGCGTCTAGAACCCACATGGTGGGAGGAAAGAACCATCTCCACAAATCCTCCGTCCTGCACACTTGCACCACACACAAGCACACCCATGCATGTGCACATACCAACGCATGTATATACCCCCACACATGTGTACACTCCCGCACATGTCTAAAGGCCTCCCTCCAATTGGATCTGTAATGTATTTTTGAAACAGGGTCTCTGCCCCGACCCTCGGGGCAGTCAACGATGAACTGGAGAACACCTAGAAGAAAATGGGGGGCAAGGGATACGAAGAATGGACAGCAAGACAGTATTCTGATCGAGCTGACAAGTTTTATTTTCTCAGGGGAAGCGCACATAGGACCGTGGGCAGGATGTGAGCAGGGTTTGCACGTAGCCAGGGCATGGGCACTGGCAGGTAGGCAGAGTGAGAAGGCCAGTAGAAGGAATGCCCTAAGTTGTTTAGCTAACCCCTGCTGTAAATTACCACAGGAGAGACAGCCCTAAGCTATTCTTTAGCTGGCTGAAATCGCAAGCCTGTACCTTGGAATAGTCTGCTGAACATCCTGTTTATTTCTTAGGAGGCAGTAATTTTCTGTCTCAGATACCTGAAGTTGTGAGGATGGTGATGGTCCCCAACAGGTCTCCAGTAGCCCAGGCTGGCCTCAAACTAGCTATGTTCAAGGATGACCGTTAACTTCTACTCTTCCTGCCTCTATCTCCCAAGTGTTGGGCTTGTGAAAGGGTCCTGCCATGCCTGGCTTATGTGTGCTGGGGATGGAATCTGGGGTTCCCATGCTAGTTAAGTCTCCTGCCAGCTGTGTTACATCTCTAGCCCCTTCAGATTAAAAAACAAATACAAGTCGAGAGGTGGTGGCGCACGCCTAGGATCCCAGCACTACTGAGGCAGAGGCGCTTGGAGCTTTGTGAGTTCAAAGCCAGCCTGGTCTACAGAGTGAGTTACAGGACAGCCAGGCCTACACAGGGAAACCCTGTCTTGAAAACAAACAAACAAAAAAATCACATTAGTTTGAGTCCTGCTTTGGGGGCTCCCTGCTTCCCTCTCTAGTCCGACGTAAAACTTAGCAGTATTTCACCCCAGGGAGCGGGACACCGGGTGGGTGTCATCGTCTTCTGGGTTCTGGGACAGTTGGGATGTTTGCTTTGGTTTGTTCTTTTGTTTGTTCTGTTGTTTTGTTTTGTTTTTGAGACAGGGTTTCTCTGTGTAGTCCTGGCTGACCTGGAACTCCCTCTGCAGAACAGGCTGGTTTCAAACTTACAGAGATCCAACTGCCTCTGGCTACCCAAGTGCTTGGATTAAAGGGGTGCACAGCCATGCCCTGCTTTGGTGGAGACTTCTTGAAAGTTCATAGATGACCTGCTAGCTTTAGAGCATCACTGAGCTGCCTGCTGCCCTGCCGTCCCCAGGGAGAGGAGCCTTTCAGTGAGGTATCTGCCCATCTCAGGGGGGAGGTAGGCACAGCCAAAGTGCTTTCAGAGGCCCCCTTCAGAGTGTGACCTGTCACATGGGAAAGGACACAGAGAGGAAGATGAGGAGATGGTAGGACTGGAAACAATTCCTCAGGAGACAGTCGGGCGTGGCCTAGAAGGAGGGAAGAGGAAGCTCTGTGCAGGCTGACTAGATGAAGTGACAGAGGGGTAAGGGGCTGGAAAACCAGGAGGAGCTCTGAATGGATGGGAACTCCTGTTGCCCCCACAGCATGCAAGGGTGGGCCTGGTCAATACCAGTAGGAAGTACCCGGCCCTACTGTGGGAGGAAACTGGAAACTATAAAAGGACCACATGATTGCTCCATGGTATGGTTGAGGGGATTTTTTTTTTTTTTTTTTTTTTTTTTATTGCAGATATGAGGGAGAAAACAGCTAGAGGAATCTGAGCAGCCCAGAGCAGAGAAAGTAGTAGATTGAACGTGGCCAGCAGAGAGAGGCAGAGGAGGGAGATGGGAGACCGAGAGGAAGACCAAGAGAGTGTGGGCAAATGAGGGGGGGGGGAAAGCCAAAATAGCAGTGTTATAAGGAGAATGAGCAGCTAAGGTAACAGGAAAGCTGGAGCATGTTTGGGGTGTGGCCAAGAGGGGTGGGGGGTACCAAGAACTGAGAGGAGCCAGGATGCCAGCATGGACTCTGAAATGTGTGATGCGGAGGGAGCTTGGAGCCAGCATGTGCTCTGGTAGCTGATAGGCACCACAGATAAGCCATTTGTCCCTGGTGCCAGTGAGGAGGGAACTGGCTCCTTGTGGTAGATGGGAACCTGCTTCACGAGTTCCTGAGGAATGCTGGCTTTGGTCTGTCCACCGACATTTGGGAAAAGGGACTTTCCTTTGGACCCGAGACGGTTCCGATGATTCTGATTGCTTTGTGGAGTGGGGTAGCTTTATGTAGGAGGCTGGGGTCATGAGAGATATATTCTGTGATGGCAGAGAGGAGCAGGGAGATGGCTTATCAGAGAAAGTGCTTGTCGCTCAGTGATGACCTGAGTTTGTTCCCAAGAACTCACTTAAAACTCTGATAAGGCTGCACACGTCTACATGCCAAGTACTCCTTGGTGCTGAAATGGGGGTGTGGAGACAACAGAAATAGCAGGAAGAGAGACCTCCAGCTTCACACCAGAAGGGGCCCTTCCTTGTGTGGCTTGTTGGTGGTTGGCTCTTGCCCGGCAGTCCCGTCTTTGGAATGGCTCCAATTTGAAGGAAGGGAGGACGGAGGCGGCTCAGGGCCCTGCAGCCTCTGGCTCTGCCGGCCCAAGCTCAGGCTTCGCTGGCAGCTGGTTCAGTAGTGGCCCCTCATCCCGCAATACTTACTTTACCCATCTCATTGTTCCTTTCTCATAGGCGTGGGACTGGGGCACGGTTAGCATCCTGGGATGGTGCCACACCCCCTAGTAATTGTAGGTACTTCCCAGAAACACAGTGGACCCCCCTCTTTGGTGTTGAGGAAGTGGCAAGCCATGCCCTATTTATTAGAATAATGTCCATGGTGGGTGGGGAGGGGCAGAGAACGACGGAATTTCTGGCAAGAGGGCGCTGGCTAGAAGACAGGTGTGAGTTGACAGCATGTGGATACACTAAGCTGGCTGCAAGGCTGCCTTCCCCACGGACAACTGGGGAAGAGTCCTCCTAATTTTTAGTCAGAACACTCAGGACATGAGAGCACTCAGGGGAAGGTGGGGTGGGGTTAGGGGCTAGAGCTTCCGTGAGCCCGGAGCTGGGCACAGAATGAACACTGCGCCTAGGGCCCTGGAGAGCGAGGGTAACCAGTAGCACCAACTGTCCTGGCCAGAGCCCCGCAGCGGCAGGAGGGGGCCAGGCTTCTGATCTCCCTACCCCCACATGGTTATCTGCAGCCACTGCAAAGAGAGCAGAGAACAGAAGGCCATCTGCAGAGGATGGAGCGTGGGCTCGAGCCGAGGGGACCGTTTAGGAGGCCGGACCAATCTCCCTACCCCTTCCCTCATACCTGCTCCATATTCAAGCAAATAGAACCAGTTCTCTTGGGGTCCATGGATAAGAAGAACCCTGTTAGAAGGAGAAGGTGGGGGGGGGAGTTAGCGCTGAGATGATGGTCTAAAGGATCCACTCCCCCAAAAAGGATAAACTCAGGAAGGTGGGACGCTACTCCTTGCCCGTGACAACTGGTTAGGAGCCAGGCTGGGTTAGGAGCACTTGCTCTAGACTCATTTACTTGCTCTGTACGAGAGTGTGGGGGGATGGGGTCAGTGCTGGCTTGTTAATGGTTTTACATTGACTGACTGACTGGATATGCAAGTGCACACGCGTCACAGCTTGTTCTTTGCTTCCTCTGGAGCCCAGGGAATTGAACTCTTCAGGCTTGTAGCAGGCACTTTCACGTGCTGAGCCGCCCCGCCCTCTCCCTATTGTCTGTTTTAACTCGAAAAGTCTCACTAAGTCTACGGGTTGCCCCAAACTTGTTATCCTCCTGTCTCAGGTCTCAGCTTCCCAAATTTCAACTACTACAGATATGGGCTACCAGCTGGGCGATGGCAGCACACGTCTTTAATCCCAGCACTTGGGAGGCAGAGGCAGGCGGATCTCTGTGAGTTCAAGGCCAGCCTGCTCTATAGAGCGAGTTCCAGAACAGGCTCCAAAGCAATACAGAGAAACCCTGTCTCGGAAAACCCAAAATAAATAAATAAATATGAGCTACCAGATCCATCCTTGGGATAATAGTTTTATTTTGATTTATTCACTTTTTGAGACAGGGTCTTTTGACTGACCTAGGCTGACCTCAAACCCACTCTGTAGCCCAGGATGACCTTGAATTCCTGATTTTTTTCCGTCCCCATCTCCGGGGTGTTTGGATTAAAAGTGTGCATCACCACACCAGGGCTTGGTGCGTGCTGAGCAAACACTCTGAAAACTGAAATACAGCTTTGGCCCCTGGGGCAGAACTGTTACCATTTGTACTATATTTTCTAGAGAAAGGTATTGGTGTACAGACAATATGCATAGCCCCAGCAAGCGGTAGATTTGAAAGTGAGTCAGGTGTATTTTCTGTGTGGGAGTGGGTCAACAGAAAGGACTTGGGGTGGGCAAATGAGTACAGGAACACTCCAGCCTTCCTGGTCTAACCTCACTCACCAAACATAGCCTTTAGCCTTAGGAAACAGTTGATGAAACTGTCAAAGTCCACGACCATGTTGTCATCGGCGTATCTAGCCACTACCACCTCAGTCACTTTATTGGTCATCTTAATGCCTAGGAGACAGATGGGGCAGAGGATAGAATTCAGGCCTCTGGACCTCACTTCCCAGCTCCCTGCCTCTGGCAGCCTCCTGCTCCCTGGACACCTGCTTTCTCTATTGCCAAGCGCATCTCGTAGGAGTTCAAGGTCCCGGAGCGGTCCTCATCACACTCTTTGAAGATGTCCTGAAGACAGACAGATGTCGTCAGGACTGTGTGTAGCGTAGTGGTTGGCATAACAGAATATTGCAGAATGACTGACTTACAATAGCTGCCTGAGACCCTGGGGATCCACTACTCTCACCAACCACCTGGATCTCTAATGTTCCTACTTTCTGATAGTTGAGGGGTTAATTCCAAGCATAGCACGGAAATGTTGGTACCCTGCCCAATGCTTTCTGCAGGCATCCATCATGGCGATACCAGGCTATATGGTTACTAACCATCTCTCTCTCTCTCTCTCTGTGTGTGTGTGTGTGTGTTGTGTATCTCTGTGTGTTTTCTGTTCTAATGGCTTCTTTGCTAGTTCCCATCCTTCTTGGCTCTCTCTTTTGGGTTCCTTACCGTCCACTTCTTGATCTTTTTCCACAGGATCTGAAACTCCTGAAGACCCAGCTTGCCAGTGCCATCTTTCTAGGGGGGTTAGTCAAGGATAAGAGTGGAGAGGGCATCCTGGGGATGAGGGAACAGAAGGCCTTGACACAGGCTTGGGGTTCCTGAATGCTAACAGCCAGAACTGGGGTCTTCGGTTACCCCAAATCTAATTCCTATCACAAAAGAGGGAGGGCACTGGGACTGGCTGGAGAGATGGCTACTTCTGAGTCAGCCTTGGAGAGCAGGGGAAATACTGGTTAGGATTGCCACAGGGCAGAAAGATACATCCATGAGGTTGACCATACGGCGACAGACATCCAAGCTAAAGCCTATAGTCTTGAAGCTCTTGACTGTGGGGGAGGCAAGGTGTAGGAAAGAGACAAAGATGAATTCCGTGTGGGATAAGATGGTATAGCTTTGTAGGGACAGGTTGGGAGGGCAGCGTGGACCACTCACATTTACTTGACAACTTGTTGAGGAGTTTTTGTAGCTCGTACATATCTACTTCCTTGTCCTAGGGGGAGAGACTGCAGTCATCTGCTCTGCCCCTTTGGCCCGGGCAGCCTCCCCCCTTCAGTCTCTTCCCCTGGCCTTTTTACCCCATTTGCCACTATCTCAAACAAGTGGATGGAATCCCAATCGAGCTCCTTCTCAGAGATGGACTCCTGGGGAAAAGAAGCCAGGAGGGAGGGAGCCAGTCTTGAAAATATCTGTCATACCCCCAAAGCCCCAAGTTTTCTATTACCTCTTCAAAATGCTCGGCCCAGTTGACTTCATCCAGCAACCTGGGCAGAAGAAAGTGAAGGTTTAGGGTAACTGGGAGCCAGAGAGATGAGGCTCTCCATGGAGTGACCTTGGAGGGGTCCTGTCATTGTAAATGGGGCAGTATCAAATACTCTATCAAATATCGCCTCTAGTTTTACTGTTTCTATTACCAATTTAGACCTCAAGCCTCAGTTTGCACGAGTATACATTAGGATTGACGTGGAGGAGGGCCAGCATCTGACACCCTGCATCTCTTGGGCAGGGGACCTTTCTGCAGTGAGACAGGCACCTCACCAGGTCTCACTGTGTTTCTCCGTGAAGACCCGAAGCAAGAAGTCAGCATCTTTATGGGGTTCAAAGGTGGAGGGGATAATGATGTATTCCCCCGGAGGCAGCCGAAGATGGCTGTTCACTTCCCGTGAGTTGGAGAAGATCTCTGAAAAGCCATGGTCCTGATATTTTACGAAGAACTCTTTCTTCAGATGGATGTCCTGGAGGTTCTGAAACTGTATGTACCCTGGAGGTGGGTACAGGACTAGCACAGGAGAGCCAAGAGAGTGCATCTCCCGAGGCGAGCCATCTTTTGGGCAGGATTAGCGGTGGGTACCAGCACCACTGCTGTGGCCTGGAATCCTCCCATGCGGTCAAAACCCACAGTTTGGTCTTAGCCTTCCCTGACTCCCACCATTGGGTCACAGCAGTTGGGGTTCTAACTCAGGGTTCCCCAGACCTTTCCTCCAGATCCCTCCCCTTGCCAACCCACTTGCGGCCAGGGGTGGGCTGGGCGCCTGCCCAGGAGTCAGCCTTTTGTACCTCCTTTGGGACCTGCAAAGAAAAAGAGAGAAGAGGGTTCTGGCCTTCCACTAGGAGTGTGCACTGTGCGTGTGAGCCTGAGGGCGTCTGTTAGGGCACTGGCACAAGGTGGTGGGTAGGGTGTAGGCTGTTGGTATTAAGAATTTGTCCGTTTTTTTATTTCAATTCCAGTTTTTGAAAAGTTTACAAAGGCAGGTTTTTGTTAAGGACAGGAGACTGAGCTCTAGAGAGAGAGGGATGATTTGCTAAAAGGGAAAGAGAGCTGGGATGTGAGGCCAAGGGTGTGTTCCTAGTGTGGGATGTCACCTACAGGTCTAGAACAGGCCACTATCAAAATGGAGGATAGAGCGCAATTACATTTGCATGTTTGCCTTTTCCTCCTTCCCTCGTAGCCCAGGCTTTGAATTTGCCATGTAGTTGAGGATGGTCTTGAACTTTTAAACCTCCTGCTTCTACCTCCCAAATGCTGGGATAACAGACATGTGCCACCGTGCCCAGTTTTATGCATTGCTGGGGAGAGAACCCAAGGCTTCTTGTTTTGTTTTGATTTTTGGAGACAGGAAATTGTGCAGGCCAGGCTGCTCTCTAACTATGTAGCTGAAGCTGGCCTTGAACTCCTGATCCTTCCGGCTTCTGCAGGCACCTTCCTTTGTGTGCACATCCCCGCACAGAGACACATACACATAATTAAAAGTTAAAAATCTTACATGTGGTGATACACGCCTTTAGTCCCAGTACTCGGGAGGCAGAGGCAGGTGGATCTCTGTGAGTTCAAGACCAGCCTGGTCAACAAGAGCTCGTTCAAGGACAGCCTCCAGAACCATAGAGAAACCCTGTCTGGAAAAAAACAAAAAACAAACAAAAAACCTTACATGTGTGGTGGTGCATCCCTTTGATACCCCTCACATGAAGGGTAGAGGCAGGCATGTCTCTGTGAGTTTGAGGCCATCCAGGTCTACATAGACAGTTCCAGGCCATCTAGGGCTACATTGAGACTCTGTCTCAAAAAAATAAAATAGTATTTTCATAAGATGAATTAAATCAGATCAAATAAAATAGGAGATTGCCAAGGTTTGGGTATCACTCTAAAGCTTAGACAATACCAAGGCCCCTATTTTGTGAGCCTATGCTTGCTGTGACAAGCATATGGAGGTCAGAGGACAGCCAGAGGGGACAGGGTTTCTCCTTCCACCATGTGGGCTGGGGGAGTAAGAGCAACATGTCAGGCTTAGAGGCGAACGCCTTCACTCACTGAGCCTTCCTGCTGGCCCCACACCCTGGCCTTCGTGTCTTGGCAGAGGGTATTAACTGCATAGGAAAAGCAGCCCTTGCCTACTGCCTTTTCATCTCCCCTTGCCGTGAAGCCTCGGCTGCCCCGCACACCGGGCAAGCACTAGCTCTGTTCATTCCTGAGTGCCCGGAGACTAGCCAGGGACGTGTACAGTGTTTCATACTTGCTGAATATGTAAGTGAATGACTAAATGGGCAAAATGGGATCTTGCAAACCATGACTGGTCTTGAGAAACACAGACTGGGAACGCCTTTTTTGGCTTCTGCAGTGAGTTGTGATGGAGTGGCTGGCGCCACATTTGGGAGGGTGTGTTGCTGAAGTCTCTGTGGCTCAGGAATCAGGACAGTCTCTTGTATAGCGAGCTTATGTAATCACCTCATCTCTCCTGCCTCCAGTCTCTTCCTTAAGGGCAGTAATAAGTGTGATGGATTTGGTCTTCGGGGTGATGTCCGTCATAAAGGAAAAGGTAGTTGGTATGGCAGGTTAAAAAGAAATCTAGCCAGGTGGTGGTGGCACATGCCTTTAATCCCAGCACTCAGGAAGCAGAGGCAGATGGGTATCTGTGAATCTGAGACCAACCTGATCTACAGAGCTAGTTCTAGAACAGCCAAGGCTACACAGGGAAACCCTGTCTTGAAAAAAAAAAATAACAAAACACAAAACAAAACAAAAACAAACCCAAAAACCAAGCAAACAAACAAACAAAAAATCCTAACCAAATAAATCTGTGAAAAGGGAACAGAGTTGCAGGCTGGACTGAAGAGGTTGCTCAGTGATTAGCACTTACTACTCTTGCAGAGGGCCTGGGTTTGAATCCCAGCACCCACATGGTGACTCACCACTGCCTATAACACCAGTTCATGTGGATCTGAGACCGTTTTCTGATCTCTGCAGGTATCAGGCATATATGTGGCAAACAAACTTAAATGCAAGCAAAACAAGAGAGAGAGAGAGACAGAGACAGAGACACGGAGAGAGACAGAGACAGAGAGACACAGAGAGAGCGCTCACACAGAGGCTCAGGAAAAGAACAAAGGCCACCACTCCAGCACACTGGGGCCGTTGGGGCTGGGCTGGAGGCAGGTGTCACAGGGGTCCTGCGGAAGAAGGGTTTTAAGAGGCGAGGTGCTGGGGAGGCAGGGGCACGTGACGCTCTGAGTTTGAGGCAGGGGACACACCGAAAAGACGACGAAGCCTATGGTCAGCAGCTGGGCCCCGTCAGGCCGGGCGTGCCTCCAATTTTTCTGCATCAGGGCCACCAGGCAGGTACAGACCACCTCGCTTTGCTCAGAGTCCTTCTCTGGGTCGTCCTCCTCCGGGAGAGAGATCTTAAACTGAGGGTTGCTCCAGAACGTCTCTGTGGAAGATGCAGATCGAGGTGGTTACGCAGGGGCGGGGCCTTGTGCCCTTTCCGGGTGGGGTGCGTGCGCTGAGATTCCAGCCTTAGGTCTGCCTCACATCCCGAAGACCGCGGCAGGCATCCGACTGACTCTGCCCTCGAGCCCACACCCACCCGGGTTGTTCCTGCAGCCGCCAGCGGTGCTTCCCTTTCTCCAGCTGCCCTCGTAGAAGGTTGTGTGCCAGCAGCTCTTGTATTCCCAGGGCGACAGTGCATCCGGAGTGAGGTTGCAGATCTCCAGGAGGGTGAAGTTGCTCACGAAGTCCTCATAGGACATCCTGGGGTGGGAGTGCACACAGCTCGGTCAGCACACTCCACCTGCACACCTACAGGCCCGCCTGTGGAGGGGCCTCCCCATTCAAAGCTCAGTGCAGAGGATGGGAGATGAGGGATGTGAAAGGCGAGTCCGATGCTCCCCCAAGCCACACTGACCAGAACTCCCCATCCTCCTTCTTTCGTAGCAGCTGTATCTGGACGTCCACACTCAACTCTTCCCACTCCTTGCCTCTGCAGAGAGAAAACAGCGGGAGGGAAGGACAGCCACCCTTCCTCCCTGAGGGACTTTCCGAAGGCCACCTCCAGAGTCCTTTTTAAATGGAGCAGCACCGGGGACAAGGATGGGCCCCACTGTGACAACGGTGTCCTCATGGGCCCCTCTATGGCTTTGTTCCCCTCCCTTGGGTCAGGGCATCTACCTGTCACTCCAGGCTCCATTCCACTCAATCCGGCCCCAGGGATTCTGGATCCGAATCAGGGTTTCCACCTTGCCCCTGTAGGAGACCTGGGGGAGAGGCGTGGAAGTTCAGGGTGTGGGCTGGTGGTGGCGCTCACGCACCTGTGGGTCTCAGGGGATGCTGTTTGCCTGCACTCACATCCTCAAGGCCAGTCACTGCGTAAGCATGCCCTCTCACCAGCATATTACGGGTCATCGTTTCCAAGTCACTGTTGTTGGTAACCTACAGAAAAGGAGGAAGGGAAGGCGTCTGAGGTCTGGCCTGGAGATCCCCAGAAAACCACTGTTTTCGTGTGACTCATAATTCACATTTTAGCATACATGTGGGGGTGTTAAATATGGCATCAAGGCTCTCAAATTCCCTATGTAGCCATGACTATCCAACCATCCTTAAACTCCTGATCCTCCTGCCTCAGCCTCTGGAGGGGTTATAGACATGAGTCATCACACATTGCTTATACTTTACACATATAGTATAGACACACACACATGCACACACAGACCATAGCAGTCACCTGTGTATGTGCACAGGCCACTGAGTACCTCCCTCTACTGCCCTAATTGTTTTTTGTTTTGTTTTGTTTTTCGAGACAGGGTTTCTCTGTGTAGCTTTGGAGCCTGCCCCAGAATTTGCTCTTGTAGACCAGACTGTTCTTGAATTCACAGAGATCCACCTGCCTCTGCCTCCTGAGTGCTGGGACTAAAGGTGTGCACCACCACCGCCAGGCTCTTGATGTTTTTAAAATGGATATTTAATGTTTATCTTATGTGTGTTGAATGTTTTACTTACACCTTTCTCTGTGTATTACATGTGAAACTGATGCCCTAGGAAGCCAGAAGAAGCCATTGGGTCCTTTGGAACTGAGTTACAGGTGTGTGTGTGTGTGAGCCACAAGGTGGGTACTGGGAATTGAACCCACATCCTTTACAAGCGTAGTCAGCATCTCAACTCCTGAGCCATCCCTCCAGCTCCTTGAGCTCACATTTTGAGACATCATCTCTGTCTGAACTGGAAGTCCACTGCTTTGGAATCCTGGCCAGCAAGTTCCCAGGATCCACCTGTCTTTACAGGCACATATGACCACATGTGGCTTTTTTTTTTCTTTCCATGGGTTTTGGGGGATTTGAACTCAGGTCTTCTGATGTTGAGCACGAATACCCTTACCTAGTGAGCCATCTCCCCAGTTCCCGTCCTTTAGATTTTGAAGCAACTGCAGATTCCCATGCAGTGGAACAGGGAGAACCTATGCTCCCTAATACACATTCCCTCTGCTCACTGAAAAAATATACGACAAGCTGAGTGTGATGGGGCACGCCTATAATCTCAGCACTTGGGGGACAGAGGCAGGTGGATCTCTGTGAGTTTGAGGACAGCCAGAGTTACATAGTGGGACCCTGTCTCAAAACAAAATAAAATAAAACCCCAAAACTAAAATCTAAAAGAACTGAAAAGAGGACAAAACAAAACTGTAACACAAAGGCAGAGCCAGGATATTGCTCTTGATGCAACTGTACATCTCTCCCTAACTTAAAAACTTCTTGCCAGGTAGTGGAGGTGCACACCTTTAGTCCCAGCACTTTGGAGGCAGAGGCAGGAGGATCTCTGTGAGTTCGAGGCCAGCCTGGTCTACAGAGAGAGTTTCAGGTCAGCCAGGGCTAATGCACAGAGAATCCCTGTCTTGAACTACTCCCCCAAATGTATGGGTGTTGTTGAAGGTATGAGCGTTATTGTATGTATGGGTGTTGTTATCTGTATGGTGTGTATGTGGGTGTTGGTATATGTATGTGTGTTGTTATATGTATGGGTGTTGTTGCTGACACAGGTCTGTACACTACATGTGTGCAGTGCCCATGGTGGCCAGAAGAGGGCATTGGATCCTCTGGAACTGGAGTTACACATGGTTGTGAGCTGCCATGTGGGTGCTGGGAACTGAACCCTGGTCCTCTGGAAAAGCAGCCAACGCTCTTAACCACTGAGACACCTCTCCAAACCCTTCTTCTTAGCTTGGTCATTTGTGGTTGGTTGCACAATTTTATCACATATGTAGTTTCATAGATCCATCACCAAAGTCAAAGTAAGGAATGTGTTCTTTACTACAAGTGGCCTCTGTAGCCAGGCTTATCTCTCCTCCTTCCTTTCCCTCCTCCCTTGACCTGACCATCACTAATCTGTCCAGGACAATGCTGCCATCACCAGGAGGTCATATAGAGGCAGATTACAGCTTATTGGGGCTGCTGCTGTTTGTATCTTGTGGTGTGTAATCGTTTCTTTTGATTCACCTACAGGAAGACAAGTACGTTGCTGTTTCCACTATTATGAGTAGAGCTGCCATAAGCATTTTGTGCAGGCTTTGTGGGAGACTAAGTCCTTCCTCTCCTCCTTCTTTTCAATCCCCCCCCCATTCTGAGTACATTTATTTATTTGAATAAGTATTTGTTGGGTGCTTATTGCATGCTGGGTATCATCTAAGTGTCAGGGTCCAGTGGTGAGTGAACCCAATATAGGTCCCTGCCCCCTGGAATCATCTCCCTTCTCACTGGGTCACAGAAAATACTGAGAAGAAAGTCTCACAAAGCAGAAGATATGCCAGGTGGGGACAGGCACTCTGGACCAGAGGCAGACAAAAATTTGTTCAACAAAGGAACGGTGAAGAGCCAGGTGTTTGGGGCACTCAGGAGACAAGACAGACGCAGGCCTGGTCTATAGAGCGAGTTCCAGGACAGGCTCCGAAGCTACACAGAGAAACCCTCTCTTGAAAAGCAAAAAAACCAAAAACAAAAAAACAAACAAACAAACAAAAAAAAAACAAAAACAAAACAAAAAACACAACAGCAAAACAAAACAAAAAACCCAAAACAAACAAAAACAAAAAGAAAAAAAGAAAGAAAGAAAAAGAAAGGGGTATGAGAAAATGTTTAGGAAAAGAGCCATGGGGTAGGGTGGAGGAGCTAGAACTCCTAGCTAGAACAAATAGCTATAAGGCCCTGGGGCAAGGCCCAGCTTGGCTTACTTCAATGGAACAGCCCAGAAGGGAAGACTTCTCCACGGCTTTTCTGAGGAGCCTTAGCATGTTGGGAGGGGGCTTCAGGAGCCGAATGCTCTGGGCCACGCCACCTGTGAAGTCCTCGAAACCCTCCATAGTGCTGCCTCCGGCCAGCGCTTCGTAGGACCCATTCACCCTGCAGGGAATGGTGAGGGAAGTGAGACATGCCTTATCGTGCCCTGACTCCTCCCCGAGTTCAGTTAGCGGCCTGGCCCAAGGTCCTTGGGAGCCAAGGCCAGACTCCAGAAGGCCAGTCTGGTTCCTGGCCTGGGCAACTTACTTGGCGTAGGCCTTCTCCAGCAGAGCGCTCCAGAATTCCTGGCGCTGGGCGGCGTGCACAAACACCAGCTTGTTATTCTTAGTGGGCAGTCGGTCGTCCACCACCACGTTCATCCACTGCCCAAACTGCCAAAGCTGTGGGTGGCAAGGGGACATTTGTCTGCATACAGGTTAACTCTGTCCTCAGAGCGCCTCCTGGTGGCCTGACCAAGAACATACTGGGATTTTTGTAAACATTTGGTTGTGTGTGTGTGTGTGTGTGTGTGTGTGTGTGTATGTGTGTGTGTGTTTTCTCCCCTTTTACCATGTGAATTTCAGGGATGGGATTCAGGTCATCGGGTTGGGATAAGTGTACTTGTCACTAAGTCATCTTGACCAAGATCCTGTCACTCCTTAGAATCCGTGAGGGAAGACCGAGAAATTCCCTAAAATGTCTCACTACCCCCACCTCCACACCAAACCAAGGTCCTTCCCCAGCATCAAAAAAACCCTACTCGTGGGGCTGGAGATTTGTCTCAGTGGTTAAGAGCACCGGCTGCTCTTCCAAAGGACCAAGGTTCAATTCCCAGCACCCACATGGGGGCTCACTCTGTAGCTCCAGTTCCAAGGGATCCAAGACACTCACACAGACATATATGCAGGCAAAACAGCAATGAACATAAAATAAAAAAAATAAACAAATCATTGACAAAGAGAGAAAGAAAGAAAACCCCACCCACCTTTAGACTGAGGCCCTATTCTGGGGGAAAAAAAAAAAAAAAGGCTGCTGGAGATTGAGCTTTCAGGTCTTAAAATCCTCTCCCTGTTTATGACATTCAGAATTGATCCTATATCAGTTAAAGGCCCTGTCACACAAATTATATAGTGGAGATTTTCAGTGTCATGATAACTATGTGCATTCCTGGGTACTGGTACAGACACACACACACACACACACACACACACACACACACACACACACACACTGAGAATGGGAAGGGAGCCTCAAACAACTAATTATTTTCTTTGGAACTTTAAAGGAATGAGCTTACATCATTTCTTTCATTAGCAGGTATTTCTGAAAATTAATTGAAAAGTCTTCTCAACCAGTGTTACATTTGAAAAACGAAGTAAGTACATACACAATCTCCCTCTCTCTCTGGTGGCCCCCATAGGCTCTGTATTTGAATGTTATTCCCCAGGGAGTGCCACTGTTTGAAAGACTATAAGGATCAGGAGGAGTAGCCTTGCGGGAGGAAGTGTGTCACCCACCGGAGCTGGACTTTGAGGGTTCAAAAGCCCACACCAGGCCCAGGGTCTCTCTCCTCCTCTGCCTGTGGACCAGGATGTAGCTCCCAGCTATTTCTTCCGTACCGTGCCTAGGTGCTGTCATGCTCCCTGCCATGATGGTAATGGGCTAACCTCTGAAGCCATAAGCCAGCCCCCAGTTAAATGCTTTCTTTCATGAGTTACCACGGTCATGTTGTGTTTTTACAGCAATAGAACAGTGACTCAGTCCCTCTCTGTGTCTCTTTCTCTCCCTCCCTCCCTCCCTCTCTCCTTCCCTCTCTCTTTCCCCCTCCCATCCCCCTCCCCTTCCCCTCTTCTTTTCACCTGGAAATAGAAGATGCCAGCATAGTTTTTCTTGAAGTTCTGGCCCCTGGGCACCACACGGTACAGCAGTTTGGGGCAAGTGGTAAGGGAGCCGATGGCAGCCAGCAGCCAGCAGTCCCCTTAAAGGCAGACAGGCAGGGGTTGTCCTTGAGCAGCTCCCGGGGTCCCAGATCCCTAGTCAGAGAAGCAGCCCCACGATCTCCCCAGCAAAGATCCCTCTGCCTTTTCCCTGAGAAGTGTTGGAAAAGGGGTGGAGAGTAGGCTCTGGGACAGTGACCTCAATCAAGGGAGTCACAAATCTGGGTAACACTGGGGAATTTGGAAAGGCTGCATAGCGTCCTGCTTTCTCTCAGGCAGACTTTCTATCTGTCGAACACATCCAGGAACCTTTCTCTGTGACTCCCATGCTGGAGTAGTGGCCAAAGGCCCAAGATATCTCTCCAGAAAACTTCTGTAATATCAGCATTTGGGTGGTGAAGGACACAAGGATTTTAAGTTCATGTGTCACCAACCTGGTCTCCTGGTCTACAAAGTGAGACCTTGTCTTAAAAATAAAATAAAAAAAAATGAAGAGCCAGAGAGATGCTCAGCAGTTAAGAGAACTTCTGGCCCTTTCAAGGGACTCGAGTTCAGCCAGCATCCACATCAGGGAGTTTGCAACCACCTGTTGTTGTAGATCCAGGGAATCCTACAATGCCCTCTTCTGGCCTCTACAGACACTGCACTCACACACACAAACCCATATGCAGAAACACATATATACAAACTTAAAAAGAAAAATTGCAAAACAAAAAACTTGCTACTCGACCATAAGGACCAAAGTTCAGATCCCAGCATCCATACCAGATGTCACCTATCTCACAAACACTTGTAATTCCATTTTCAAAGGATTAGGCATCCTTTTCTGAACTCCAAGAGCACCAGACACACATGTGTGCATACTATGACACACAAACATTAATAATTTAAACAAATAATGGGTTGGAGAGATGGGCTCAGCTGCTCTTCCAGAGATCCAGAGTTCAATTCCCAGCAACCACATGGTGGCTCACAACCACCTGTAATGAGATCTGGTGCCCACTTCTGGCCTTTAGGTGTATATACAGACAGAAGACTGTGCATAATAAATAAATCTTTAAAAGACCTTTTAAAAATTTAAATTTAAAAAAGGAAAGATCTCTGCCCCATCACCCACATTCTACTAGAGAAGCTGGGTTCTGCCTCTGTCCCACTGTGAGCCCTGGTGATGTATTGTTTATGATCTAATAAAACCACTGCGGATCAAAATGAAGCCAGCCACAAGCTATAGGGGTTAGGCAATGGTGGCACACACCTTTAATCCCCAAAGCCACAAGAGACAGCCATAGAAGCTGGGCAGTGGTGGCAAACACCTTTAATGCCAGGACTGAGGAGACAGGGTTAGACGAATCTCTGTGAGTCCAAGGCCATCCAGATCTACACAAGATTAAATCTGTCTAATGGAGAATTAGAGTTCACACCTTTAATCCTAGCTCTAGAGAGCTATATAAACGTCAGGAGCCTGGTGTCTGAGGCTACATTCTGAGATTAGTCTCCAGCCATGTTGAGGAGAGGGCAGCCGTCTGGGACTGGAGTCTGAGGCTTGGTGGAGACAGGATTTTGATTCTGGCCTGAGGTAGATCTAAGTGCTAGTGGCCAGCTGCTTTGCTTCTCTGATCTTCAGCCTGAAGCTTGAACCCCAATATCAATCTCTGGGTGTTATGTTTTGTGTTACACCCTGGAGCTAGCTGAAGACGGAGCCCAGGACACTGTCCCTGTCCAGAGGCATGGGAGCACAGTGCCATGTATCAGCCATCTAAATGCCACCTGTTTGCCAGGTAGTAGGTGGTGCTGTGTGAGCTCCAGGGTCTGGCCAAGCTTTTGGGCACTGGAAGTTTCTGTGATGACTAGCGGGCTCTGGGCTTTGGAGGGAGGGCACAGGCAGGAGGAAACAGTAAAGACTCCACAGCCATCATCCACACAAAGGCAAACACTGATTTTTTTCCTCCTATGCCCAGCATCCCTCAGAGGCCCACTGAGCCACAGAGGCAAGTGTGGTGGTGGTGGTGGTGGGGGGCAACCTGGTGTCTGGCACAGTGTCATGTGACTCCATTGTTCTATATTTGATGGCCCAGACTAAAGAAGTCCTACCACCTGTGACAAGTGACAAATATCTCAGTTTTGTCTCCTTAAAAGATAGAAACCAATCCCTGTGCTCTCTTTTTTTTTTTTTTTTTTTCTTTAAAGACGGGGTCTCCTAGACCTGGCTCTCAGGGCACTCATTGTACGACCAAGGGTGAACCTTAAATTCCCCACACCCCCCCTTTTTTTTTTTTGGCAAGGTCTCTAGGCTCTTAGCTAGCCTGGAACTCACTATGTAGATCAGGCTGGCCTTGAACTTGTGAATAATTCTCTTGCCTCTTCTAGATTTTAGGATTACAGGCACATGTCATTTTTTAAAGGTTTATTTATTTATATGTATACAGTGTTCTGCCTGTATGTATGCCTGCACACCAGAAGAGGGTACTAGATCTCATTGTAGATGGTTGTGAGTCATCATGTGGTTGCTGAGGATCGAATTCAGGACCTCTGGGAGTCTGGGAGAGCAGCCAGTGCTCTTAACCTCTGAGTCATCTCTCTAGCCCCACCATACCCAGTTTTCTGTAATGCTAAGGATTGAACCAAGGAATTCTTGCTGCTAACCAAACAATTTGCCAAATGAGCTACACCCAGCCCCATAATCCTTTGCCTCTTAAATATGGGTCATTCAGGGCTTGTTCCTAATAAAACATGGTGGAGATTACTATGTGTGTGTGTGAGACCTTGAGATCAGGGGGGCCCAGGGATGTGGGGTATAGCCCAATGCAATGCTTGCCTATCTGAAGGCTCTGGGTTCCATCCTAAGTAAAAAGTAAATAAATAAGCCAGCTATGGTGGCATAGACCTTTAATCCTAGCACTTGGGGGGGGGGCAGAGGCAGATGGATCTCTATGAGTTCAAGGCCAGCCTAGCCTGGTCTACATTGTTAGCTTGTGGCCAGTTAAAGGCTACATAGTGAGACCTTGTCTCAGTATATAAATAAGAAGCAAGCAAATGAAACAAATCAATGAAAAGCCCTTGGGGCTTTCCCCTTGTTTTCTCTTGGGCTCCTCAGTAGGAGTCTCAGCTACCATGCTGTGTGGACACTCAGCTAGCTAGACCCTGAGGTTTCATCCACAGGACAGCAGTGTAGCCCCCATCCAGCCAAGCCTTCAGAGGACCAGGGTCCCACAGTGCAGCTGACCTCAGCAGATATGAGACACTACGGGTCAGCCCTGTCTGTCCCTCGCCTTCTGAGGTGCCTCAAAAAAAATCTGGGAGGTGAGAATTGCTTGCTGGTTCTTGGGGATAAGTCTCATGTGACCCCAGGTTGGCCTTGAACTCCTGTCCCTTTTGGCCCTTTTCCCCTAGGAAGTTGTATGTGCCAACATGCCTGGTTTGAAGCTTAAAACAAATAAACAAAAAATTTATTTTGTCTGTGTGTGTCTGAGTGTGGGTGCACATGTGGTGGCATGTGAAGGGGTGCTCCTGTGCACACGGAGTCCAGCAGGGGTGGCTGAATTCCTTGGGGCTGAAGCTTCAGGTGTTTTGGATAATGGTACTTGGGTGCTGGGGTCTGAACCCTGGTCTTCATTGTGTTGTACCAAGTGCTCTCAACTGCTGGGCCATCCATCTCTCCACCCGTCTCCTGTTGCTAAGCCTTGGGTAATATATTATGCGGCAACATGCATTTGCAATATCACCCCAACTTAACTCCCGAACCAGACTGCAGTAGGAACAGAAGGGACATAGAGGACACAGGTGACAGAGGTAGGTTGAGTGTAGGGAGTCCTAGTCTTCCAGGCTGGAGAGCCATTCCTTAGCCCCCACCCCGCTCCCTTTGTCCCTACTTTCCCCAAGGAAGCCATCTCCTTGTCCCCGACTCACCGAGGACCCCTTGGCAGATGTCTGTGGGAGAGAGCTCATTCATAATGAATTGGGGGTTAGTCGTGATATCCTGTGGTGAAGGAATAAGAACGTCAAGGGGTGAAGGGCCCCATCCCTACCTCCCTTGCGCCTCAGAGAGTAGGGTGAACAGTAGAGAGGATGCTGAGCCATCTGACCACAGCTTGGCTATGATAGCCAGGTTTGGGTGCCAGCCCATGATTAAACTAACAGAGCCTGTTCAGAACTATCCCCAGCTCTGATGGCATTGGGGCGTGGCCAGGACCCTCCCCAGCCCCAGTGCCCACCTTGGGCCTTTGCCAGTAGATGTTCTGCACCTGTTTGGATCTGGGGCCCAGATCCTTGAAGCCTATAGACTTGGGTTCAGCAGGGAAAAGGGGGTCCTCAAACAGTTCCCCCTTCCTTAGACATGCTGCTCGAAGCTCCTCAAAGTTCTGATTCTTGTAGTTGTGGGCGTTTTGGTGTTGGCCCACGCCCATGGCCTTGAGTCGGCTGTTGTTTATGGAAGCCACCATTCCCTTGTCGACACAAATGGACTCTGTTCGATAAAAAAAGAGAAATAACCCAATTTGAAATGGTACTGAAGCTGGGCGGGTGGGAATAGCAGCTGTTGGGGGGTGGAAGCGGGATTCAGGAGCTGATTATCTTCAGCTACAGAAGTTTTTAGCTTTTAATACAGTCCTGGCTGGTTTTGTGTGCCAACTTGACACAAGCTAGAGTCATCAGAGAGCAAGGAGTTGGGAGGCATTTTCTCAATTAGTGATTGATGGGGGAGGGCCCAGCCCGTGGTGGATAGTGCCATCCCTGGGCAGGTGGTCCTAGAGAGCAACTGAGTGAGCCATCGGGAGCAAGCCAGTGAGCAGCACCTTCCATGGCCTCTGCATCAGCTCCTGCCTCCAGGATCCTGCTGTGTTTGAGTTCCTGTCCTGACTTCCTTCAGTGATGAACAGCAATTTGGATGTGTTAAGCCAAATAAACCCTTCCCTCCCCAACTTTCTCTTTGGTTATGGTGTTTTGTTGCAGCAATAGATACCCTCATTAAGACAATATTGTTTGTTTGTTTGTTTTTTGTTTTTAGAGATAGGGCTTCCCTGTGGCTTTGCAGCCTGTCCTGGAACTTTTCTGTAGACTAGGCTGGACTCAAACTCACAGAGATCCACCTGCCTCTGCCTCCTGAGTGCTGGGATCAAAGCCATGCACCACCACCACCTGGCTGACAATACTTATTTACTTGTATGTGCATTTGCACGTGTGCCTGAGTATGTCTGTGTGCATACCACATGCAGGAGCTCACGGTGGTCAGAAGAGGCATCAGATCCCCTGGGACTGGAATCAGTGATAGGTGTGAGCTACCTAATGTGGGTGCTGGGAACTGACCCAGAGTGCTCTGGAAGCTCAGCCAGTGACCCTACCTGCTGAGCCATCTCTCCAGCTCCGTAAATCGAAAAGACTTATTTTATTTATATGTGCACCTGTCTGTGTCGGGATGAGTGTATGTGCATGTGTGTTGGGAGGAGCAGCGGAAGGTGTCAGATCCCTGGGAGCTAGGGTTACAGACATTTGCAGAATGTCCGACTTCTCCCATGGGTACTGGGATCCAATCTGGGCCTCATTATTGTGCAGCAGAGTCGTTTCTCCAGGACCAAACAAAGTGCAAACATCATGTTTGCAGAGAGCCTTGGTTAAATGACACCCCGCCTCAGAAAACAAATAAAAGTGGCGAGGCTATTCTTCAGAAGATGAAGACCATGAAGAGACACCCCTTGCTACTCACGGAAGGGAGGAAGGGAATATATTGGAGCCCTTAAGCATGGCCAGGGACATAGACAGGTTCTTTGGAGAGCATCGTCTGGCGGCCGTGTCTCAAATGAGACACAGGGCCTGAAGAGATGGCTCAGTAGTAAAGACTGAGTAGTAAAGTTCTTTTGAGGACTCAGGCTTGGTTCCCAGCACCCACAAGGGAGCTTATAAATCACTCCAGTTTCAGAGGACCTGAAACCACTTCTACCCTTCTTGATACCTGTACCCATGTGCACACACCCACACGCAGACACATAACAAAATAAAAAACCAGGGGCTGGACATATTACGCCATGGCTAACAGCACTGGCTTCTCTTCCAGAGAATTCAGGTTCAGTTCCCAGCACCCACAGGGCCGCTCACAACCATCTGTAACTTTAGTTCCAAGGGATCTGATTCTCTCTTCTGACCTCTGAGGGCACCAGGAACACATATGATGCACAGAGGTACATGCCTGCAAAACACCCGTCCATATTCAACAACAAAACAACAGCAAAAAATATAGCACTGGGGAGGCAGAGACAGGTGGATCTCTGTGTGCTCGAGTCTGATCTACAAAGCAAATGCCAGGTCAGAGCTACTTAGTGAGACCTTCTGCAAAGGAAGGAAGGAAGGGAGGGAGGGAGGGAAGAAAGGAGGGAGGGAGGGAAGGAAGTTCTCAGCAAGGGAGACAGACTATGCTTCATCCAGTCTAAGGACTCTTGGCTGTGTCTAGAGACGCTTTCGTTTGCCACATCTGGTTGCTATTGACATCTAGCAGATGGAGGCTACAGATGAGCTAACTGCCTTACAACTCTTGGGACAGCATTGCCTCCATGTGGACAACAGGTCACTCAGCCTGACATGTCAGTGGCTCTGCGGAGGCTGTGAAATCTGGAGCAAATCCCAGGCCAAGTACACAGGAAAGCGAGCTGCTTGGTGCCATCCAGGGAAGCCTCTGCCATAGCTTCACTGAGACTGAGGGTGCTCAGTCTCTGTTGGAGGCCTTGGAGGGTTCCAGAAGGTGCTGGCATCCAAGAGCTAGATATCACCAGGAGCAGACCAGCCCAGTGAAGGTGCAGCCTGGAAGCTCTGGCCAGGATCATTGTCCAGCTCAGAGTCATTTCTCATCACACAGACTGCAAATCCTGCTTAGAATCCCCATGCAGGTCCCCAGTGCCTGAGCTTGTTATTTAGTGCTGACAGCAGGGAGTTGTACGGCCCACCCCGCCGTACACTTGTGTGCCCATTGCCATTGCTGTGGCATGCATCTCTAGAGAAGACAGCTGCCCCGAGTCCTGTCACAGGGTGTTGTGGGGCACTGTGCCACAAGTACAGCAACCACTGCAATCTTCATCAGAGTAACTGGGATTACTAACAATGGGCTCTCAAGATGGCGCCTGTTGACATTGCAGGGTCACTGGATCTCACCTAGGTCCCGGTCCCTCCCTCTTACATTTCCTAGCCAGCTAATTGTAATTCTGTGCCAACTGCATGGGGTCTTGGGACGTACCAGAGTGTGTAAAGCGAGGAAGGTTAGTTAAAGGGGAGGCTTATCTGTGTAGCTGCCAGGAAGTTGTCTTCCATGCTAGGATGAGACTTTTCGGTGGTACATTTGTTTTTGGGGTCGCCCACGCTCCTGTGTGTAACTCCTCACCAAAGAATGTACTGTAAGCCCAATAAACTCAGTGGTTCACCAAGTCTTTCTTATCTGGGGTGAGTAGATGTTTGTTGATATCATGAACTTGAAAAGCTCATGCAACACATGACTTGGTTGGGAGGGGGCCAAGCTGAGACAGACAGACAGACAGACAGATAAATGAGGCAGGCAGAAGCTCAGGCAGATGGCTATGGGAGGGTGCTGAGATATGACTATGCTCGGCAGTATTCAGTATTCAGGAGGCAGGCAGATCTCAGGGTTGAGGCCAGCCTGGTCTACAGAGATCCAGGATAGCTAGAACTATACATGGAAACCCAGATCTGAAAAAAACACCCCTCCCTCCCAAAAGAAAGGAAGAGATATCACGACATATGAAACTGTTGTCTCCATCAGACTAAAAGTCAAGGTAGGGAGCAACCCCCCATCAGACTAGGGACCCGTAGATTTTGTTTGTTTGGTTGGTTTTTTGAGACAGAGTTTCTCTATATTGCTTTGGAGCCTGTCCTGAAACTAGCTCTGTAGACCAGGCTGGCTTCGAACTCACCAGTGCCCAACAAGACCTGTAGATTCTTGAAAAATTAAATCTAAGAAGAATGTAGTAGTACATTACTGTAACCTGGCATTTGGTGGCTGAGTCAGGAGGATCCTGCTTACTACATCTATTTATTTATTTGTTTTTTACATGGCATACATGTGCCAGAGCATATGTATCTGGGGCCTCCACCTTGTGGGCCTTGGGGATTGAACTCGACTCACCAAGCTTTGTGGCAAGCACCTGTACCTGCTAAGCCATCTTGCTGGCAAGGACCCTGCTTCTGAGCCCTAAGTCACATAGTGACAAGAATACTGCCCCCCAACCCCCTAAATATATTTATTTGGGATGTCTGTTGAGCTAGTTAATATATATACACTATCTCACATACCTCACACACTTTCTGAATATGGTTTTCGTTTGTTTTGGTTTTTTGGTTTTGTTTTGTTGACAGGGTCTCATACAGAACTGCCTCTGCGTGTAGCTGAGACCTTGAATTCCAGACCCTCTCACTTCTGCTTCCTGTGTGTGTAGAGGACAGGTCTGTGTCTTCACATCCGGTTTTATATGATCCTGGGGACGGAACTCACGATTCAGGCATTCGAGCATCCTGCCACCTTAGCTACATACCAATCCCTACTGTAAATGGTTAAAATAAGGCTTTTTAATCATGTGTACATGTACACGAACGCAAATGCACACGGGGTAGAGGTGTTGTGTCTTCTGTGAGCTGCAGTTACAGGTGGTTATTAATCACCCAACATGGGTGCTGGGAACCAAACTTGGCCCCTCTGCAAGAGCACCAAGGGCCATCTCTCAGCCCTGGGGAGTTTATAAACGATTACATCACAACCAGGGAACCAATGGTTTTATGCATAGTTTGCTCTCCAGAGCTTGGAGGAAACATGTTGCTTCAGAAAACTGGAGGGGTCTCCTTCAAGTCTAAACATCACTAGCCTGTTACAGAAGCCGGGGGCAGAGTCCCTAGACTCTGCTCACTGTCTGAGGGGGAGGGGCAGAGCCTCGAGTCACTCCTCTGGTGCTGGTAAGGCTGGATTCCCCAAAGGAACCGCTTCTCAGCCTCCCCTTCCTGCTCCGCTACCAGCCCAGTCTGCCCTGCATCTGAGGGGAGAGCTCAGGCTCCATCCAAGCAGCTCACTCCTGCCGTCTTAGACTAAGAAAGGCTCTAGGCTTGGGAGAGATTTTCTCTGTTCCCTCGGGTTTATTGTATCTCTAATGGCTGATGGGGGGGCCCCCTTGTGCAAACCCCTTTGCAGAGGGATGTGGGCCATAGCTCTACCCATGCCAATGCATCAGTAGAGCTATCTGCCTATTCTTCCCCTACGTAAGAGGAGGAAGCCCAGCTTTTACCCTCTGAGCATCCAGCCTGCGGAGAGGTCCATGTCTATCCTGTCTGAGGTCTCAGAGAACAGCTCCATTTCTGCAGTAAAGTCATAGTACATAGAAGGGGCCGGTCCCATGAGTGCCTACCTGGGGAGTACAGCATGCCGAAGGCTATTGGGTGAACGCCTAGCACACTGCTTGGC